TGATGAATATTGAATTGAATATTGCAATTATTATGAATGACTGATGAACATTGAATGTGAATATAAATGTTGAATAATGCATGATGAATAATTTTTAATAATTATTGATTATCTGAACTGAACATTATGTGCATGATATCAAATGATTTGATTATGAATTTAGATTCAGTTTATATGGATGTTCGACGCATTAGATATGCTTACTCAGCTTAAACGCTGAGCGTGTAGTATGTTTTATTTGCTACACGCAGGTAAACAAAAAGAATGAAGAAATGATTTCGTGGAGGCAGATGGGACGAAAAGATCGGACGGATGTGTGTTTTGCATTTAAATTACTGTTGAAAAGACAAAAATTAATTATGTTTGTATTATGTTTTATTAAGCTTCCGCAACATTAAATTACTCCGTTACTATTTTGAATTATTTATTATGAAATAAAGTTTTAAATATTTGAAATATTTTAAATGTTTACGAATACCAAGTTTATACTTTAGTCCAAAAAGGGCTGCAGACCTGGACGGATTAGGGTGTTACAATTTGGTATCGGAGCAAATGGTTTTAAACCCGATCTTCGGATCAAAACTTGGATTTAAATATATATATATATATATATATATATATATATATATATATATATATATATATATTGGCTATATAAAAAAAAGAAAATTTCAATCACATCCACGACTCTCGCATCCCTCTGCTCCAAGAAGGTAATAAAAATCTATGTATTAAATGTGTCTGTATTGAATTTCATAGATGTCAACTGTTAATTCGGAAATGATATCAAGTGTTGATTCAAGTCACACTTTCGTACATTGTAAAAGACGAAAGAACAAACGAAATGTATATGACTCCCTGATACGCTATCAACGCGCCCATCGCTTCGCGAAAATAATGAAAAGAAGGATTTATCTGCGCCGCAAGGGTGCATGGGAACAGGATGACCCGGAAGAGACGTTCAGCATAGACTCTGCCAACAGCATCTGCGGATCCGGTGTGGAAGATCCTTCCGTAAATTCAAGAAAATCCAACTATTCAAACGTAAACGCTTAGAATAACTCTTGTTGATCGAATCCCTTGATTTTATCAATTATTGTAATCTTTTGTAATTTCTGTCATGAACTCAACTACCCAAATAAAGAATCCTAATAAAGGAATTTCTGTTAATTGTAGAATGAGTCAAGAAACTGCACACGGACAAGGCAACAATGAACACATAAGTGTTCACACTGAAGCATCTAGCTTCACCCCTCCTATCCAAAACGAGCCTATCAACCAAGAGGATGTTCCTCAGAACAATGCGAATGCTGATGGTCAACCTCACTATGCAATTCCTGTTTTCTTGGCAAACTTGCTTCAACAAGTGGCCAATGCTCCAATGTTTCAACCACCACCACCGCTGCCACCGCGTGTAATCACTTTCAAATTTCTGAAAGATAATGGAGGAGAAGAGTTTCTGGGCGATCGAATCGCCGAACCTCAAATTGCTTGGAATTGGATTGAACAGACGGCCCGAGTGTTGAGAGATCTGAACGTACCGCTTAACGACCACCCGAGACTCGCATCACAATTACTTCGTGGGGAAGCCTACGAATGGTGGAAACGCACCGATGAAAGTAACGAAACCCCGAAGCCATGGACGTGGGAGTTCTTCGACTGGGCTTTCAAGAAAGAGTATATCCCAGCACGTTTCCGTGAAGCAAAACGTACCGAATTTGTTGAGTTGCAACAAGGGGAGATGACGCTTCCCAAATATCGCCAAAAGTTTGTCAGTCTTGCCAAATTTGCACCAACGTTGGTAAGCACCACAACTGACCGTATTGAGGAGTTCAGATCAAAACTCCGACCTGATCTCAGGGCTCAAGTATCTGTCATACCAACGGTAGACTTCACGGAAGCCTATGATCTTATTGCTAAAGCAGACAAGGATCTGAATGCTTGTAAGGAGTACTTGAAGAAAGAAGGTGCTAGCACAAGTGAACGTCGACCTACAAATTATGTCTCGAGTGGGAAAAGACCATTTCAAGGACCCAACAGCTCACACTTCTCCAAGAAGGGGAAATCTGTACAAACCCAATCATTGGCATCTGGCAACAGGTCAAAGGGATGGAAAAACCCAGCGTGTAAAATGTGTGGGAGACACCATCCTGGGGAATGTTGGCTTGCTCAAAGACTATGTCTCGGTTGTGGAAAGCCGGGGCATTTCCGAAAGAACTGTCCCACAAATCCTGGAGAGCCATTTCCACCTGCTCCTGTCGCCAGTCACGCAGCATCGGCACGTCCCGCTCCAAGTCAACGCTCTACAGCAGGATCTAATCCTGCTAAAAATCAAAATCAACAGCAAGGACGAGCGCCTGCCCGCACCTATGCAATGAAAGGACGTACTGAAGAGAACCCTGATGTCATCCAGGGTATGTTCTCATTATTCGATACAACCATGCATGTGTTGATAGATCCTGGATCGACATTATCTTACATCTGTGTACCTATGCCTAACAAAGCTGACATATTGAAAGAAAACTTAGAACACCCTATACTAGTATCTAACCCACTAGGACATAGTATGAGGTTACATCATGTATACCAAGATTGTCCGCTGATTGTCGAAGGAAAACAACTCCTTGCAAATCTTGTTGAATTACCGTACAAGGAATTCGATGTCATCCTTGGTATGGATTGGCTTACTGAACATCAAGCTGTTATCGATTGCCGACAATGGGTGATACAACTGAAAAACAATGATGGAAAGACCATTGAAGTGAAAGAAAAGCTAACACCCAAACCTACTAAATTCATCTCGTATATACATGCTAGGCGCCTCATCCGCAAGAAATGTGAAGCCTATCTATGTAATGTACGAGACACATCAAAAGAAACTCCTGGATTGAAGGACATACCAATGGTGTGTAACTTTCCTGATGTATTTCCTGATGAACTTCCCGGTATACCATCTTCCAGAGAAGTAGAATTTTCCATCGATCTTGTTCCTGGAACGGGACCGATATCAGCAACTCCCTATCGTATGGCTCCTGCTGGAATGAAGGAATTGAAGGCTCAATTACAAGAATTACTTGATAAAGGATTCATTCGACCGAGTGTTTCCCCATGGGGAGCACCCGTTCTGTTTGTAAAGAAGAAAGATGGCTCGATGAGACTCTGCATCGATTACCGTCAATTAAATAAAGTCACAATCAAAAATCGTTATCCTTTACCCCGTATCGATGACTTATTTGATCAGCTTAGAGGATCTACTGTATTCTCTAAGATTGACTTACGGTCAGGATACCATCAAATTCCTGTCAAGAAAGAGGACATCCCAAAGACTGCATTCCGTACTCGTTATGGTCATTATGAGTTTACAGTGATGCCCTTTGGTTTGACCAATGCTCCAGCAGTATTCATGGATCTCATGAATAGTGTATTCCGACCATATCTTGATCAATTCGTAATTGTGTTCATCGACGATATTCTTGTGTACTCGAAGAATCGAGAAGACCATGCGAAACACCTGGAGGTAGTACTCAGTGTACTACGAGAGCACAAACTATATGCCAAATTGTCAAAGTGTGAATTTTGGCTTGATGAAGTCACATTTCTAGGACATGTGATTTCGAAAGAAGGTGTCAAAGTGGACCCCAGCAAAATATCTGCCATCACCGAGTGGAGAGTTCCAAGGAATGTTCGAGAAGTAAGAAGTTTTCTAGGGTTAGCTGGATACTATTGACGATTCGTTGAAGGTTTTTCCTCGATCGCAACTCCACTCAACAAACTCCTAAGGAAAGACGTGAAATTCGTGTGGACCAACGCATGCCAACAAATCTTTGAAAAACTAAAGAAATGTCTGACAGAAGCACCTGTACTGACACAACCAGTACCAGGTGTAGACTACACAATCTTTAGTGACGCATCTCATAACGGCTTGGGATGTGTACTTATGCAAGACCGTAAGGTCGTGGCATATGCATCAAGGCAATTGAAGCCTCATGAATGTAACTATCGCACCCATGATCTTGAGCTAGCAGCAGTTGTATTTGCTTTAAAAATATGGCGTCATTATCTCTTCGGAGAAACAACATATATTCATACAGACCATAAAAGTCTGAAATACCTGTTAACTCAGAAAGAGTTGAATCTGAGGCAAAGAAGATGGCTGGAACTTATCAAGGATTATGACTGCTATATCAACTATCATCCTGGTAAGACTAACGTAGTTGCTGATGCGTTAAGTCGGAAGATGGTAGCCGAACTCCGAATCCAACCAACTCTGGAAAACGAAATTCACTTAGCGCAAAAGAATGATGATTATTGTTTGAAGACTTGTGAACTTGTCTCTAAGGGGGAGAGACAAGACTTCACTGTGAATGACGGAATTTTATTCTACAGGAATCGTTTGGTAGTTCCTAGTGGTGAAGTGAAAGAACGTTTAATGCGTGAATCTCACGAAACCACATATACCATGCATCCTGGTAGTAATAAAATGTATCAGGATCTGAAGAAAACGTATTGGTGGCCCACAATGAAGCGGGAAATTTCACAATTTACGACCCGATGTCTGACGTGTCAACAAGTCAAAGC